ATATTATATATATATATATATTACATGTTATTAACGAGCGTATCTATATATATATAGATACGCTCTATCTATATATATATATATATAGATACGCTCGTTAATATAACAATAAAATATAATAAATTCAAGGTCTGTTTCGAGCTGTTACGAGATCTTTAAATTTTATAAAAAAGTTTTTAATACAGAATGATATCAAATAGAGTATAATATAAAAACATGATATCAAATAAACAAAATATAAATAAACGTTTCAGCTCTCACTTGAGCTCTCTGCAACTTTTTTATAAAATTCAGATTTTTTTATTTAACGCGTATTTTGAAACGAACAATTGCGTTCTCTTCTTCCTCGGTGTTAAAAATCGATATTTTTTTTCACACCGAGATAGTTTAAGGGACACCGTGATATTTCACACGGTGGACGAAAGTTTTCTGGAATTAGAAAATATTAAAAAAAAAAAATAAAAAATTGTAGATTGTATGAAAATTTTTTCATCAACGTGTTTTGCTTCCTGCGGAAATCGCGATGGAACTGTCTTCGCGCGAGATTCCTTCCTCCGGACAATTTGTTTCACTCGGAAGAATACGCGCGTGCGTTTCGATCCGTTTCGAAAGTACCCGCGGACGTACGCAACGAATGCAAGTCTCACCGCGCGCGCGCTCTGGTCGTTGCACCGTATATAACAACAATTCGTTGTTGCGAAACCGAGCGACGTTAACCGTTTTCAGAAGATTCCCCTGTGATCGGGGCGTAACGTTGTGTGCGGCAAGAAAAAAAAATCGCGAGCGCGACGACGCGATCGACGGTCGCAAAAACGCGGCGCGGCCGGCAAATCGAATTGTTCGCATCTGATTGTCGTTATCGGAACAGGTCGAGTCACGATTGCCGCCGCCGGCTGCTCTGCGATGACGTTCGGGTCAATCTGTCTCGTCAGTCTCGGGTTTTTTGTCTCCGAACGTCGCGACGTGACGTGTTTTGTTTTTTTCAGAAAATTGCGGGAAATAATATATTTGTCGCGCACAATAAGACGCGTTTTTTTTACTTCGCTCTTCGGTCCAAGTTTTCAAACTCCGGGCTTATGTCTCTCGGACAAAAACTCTCTCTCGTCCCGAAAACGAACTCTCGCTTGTCCGAACGCACAGTTTTCCAGACAACTGGCATTTGACCAAACATTTTCCACTGGTTTCGGTAATGAAAACTATTTTTAGTTTTTTGAAAAAAATACAAAAACTCTGATTGGAATTATGGAACTTTGCTGGGGGAGGGGGGGCGACGACCGGGTTCTTTGACGGGTCGAAGATGCACATTTTTCGAACGTGGCAAAAGAGGAAAACGAGGATTTCGACCGAGTGCGCGCGCGCTCTCGTAGAAAAGTCCACCCGAGCCGGCTCTATTTCCCGATATCAATTTATGCGCGAAAGTTCACCCGGTTCCTCGGTAATGTTACACCGATCCGTAACGTTGCGACTGAGTAATCCGACACGGTCGTGTCCGTAAATCATCGCGGACGCGGGCTCGCACGAGTATAGAGAAGCATGAGAAACGGACCCGATATATAATGTTGCGCGCGAATAGGCTCGTCTCTCGCTTTGAAGAGAAATCGCACAATACGATTGCGCAATTCGCGCGCTCGTGATAGCGCGCGAGCGCAGTAAAAAAATTATCGTTACGACTCGGACAATAATAATAACAATAATAATACAAAAAAAAATAAATAACTAAATAAAGACGACACGAGTCGACGCACAAACTCAACGTTTCTGCGCAGTTGTCGGAAGTAGCGAAAAATTAATTGCAAGTTCGCAACGGTCGGGATATCAAGCGCAACGCGTACAGTGCGTAATTAACAAAGCTGCGAATTGCAACACACACGCACACATACGGGTGTGGGACACCGAGGGACTAGTTTATTTACGGTACGCCTTGTGCGCGAAGGTAAGAAATATCGAAAGGACTCGTAATATGAAAATAAAAGCGATATATATATATATGTGTACGTACACACGTGCGCGCGCGCGCAAACGAACGTATCAGCTAAGTGCAATCGAGTCGTACGATCGGGTATAAAAATAACTACTTACGTGTTGTGTACTAGTAATTAATGCAGATTGTATTCCCGCGATTATATTCCTCGTCGAAAAGAAAAAAAACAAGGAACGTGTTAAACAGGATGTAAAAAAAAAAAAAACCAAATGTATTTATCAACTCATTACTCCGTTTTAATATATTCTGGAAATTGTAATTACGTTTTTAATCTCAGCTCGTGTGTGCGCGCGCACAGAAGAGAAAAAAAAATCCGAAAAATCTGCCGTATCCTTTTTTTTAGAAACTTCAGTCTTTGGATTTAAATTATTTCAAATAAATCAAAAGGCAGATACGCGAGCAGTAAAATACAGGTTGGTCGTGTATTAAAAAGTTGTCTTTATTCAATAAATAGACGTTTCGGTCACACAAGTTTGGACCTTCTTCAGTATGAAAAGTTAAAGTCTAACAAGAAAAAACAAAAGAAATAACAATAAATAAAATAAGCATTAATTAAAAATAATGTATATGAATAAAAACTCACTTAAATAAGAAGAAACATTTTTTAGTACACTGCAGTTCAGTACACATTGTATTATTGTAATTTATTGACATCATTTCATTTATTTGTCAGTGATGTAGTGTACTAAAATGTTTCTTCTTATTTAAGTGAGTTTTATTCCATATATTATTTTTAATTTACTATGATGTTCGCTTTGCGCTTATTTTATTTATTGTTATTTCTTTTGTTTTTTCTTGTTAGACTTTAACTTTTCATACTGAAGAAGGTCCAAACTTGTGTGAAACGAAACGTCTATTTATTGAATAAAGACAACTTTTTATACACGACCAACCTGTATTTTACTGCTCGTATCTGCCTTTTGATTTATTTGACTATTTCACGAGCGCGATTGATTGATTTAAATTATTTCAATTAATTTTCTCAAATAAAAAAAATATTATCTTGAATTTCCTTAAAAACATTCGTCATCCGCGTTCATGATTCGCGATACGATGATATTCAAGGAATTTCTTCTCAACACGTGCGGAGGATCGCGTTAACGCGATGAGATGTTCTCAAGAACGACGGTGTTTGCGTCACCTGACATTTGATCAAAGGTTGTGTCGGAGATGAAGAGAACGCGGAGAACGCGGAGAGACACAAAGAGGAATTAAATCGACAACACACAACAGAGCGTGGGGAATTGCTAATGCGAACGGGAGCGAAAAAGAGTAGGTCGCGGTGTAAACTCTTTGACCCGGCGAGAATACCTGAAACGCGCACCTGCGACTATCGCCCACACACACATCGCCATTTATACCCTTTCACTATTACTTTCTCTATCAAGCTCCTGCATCGTCCGATAAAATAGCATCCGCGCGTGTGTGAAGTCACGCGCGGAAAACGCGCGGATGCAAATACGCTTATGCGTCTTAATCTATACGTGCGTTGACTGACACACCGCGTTCTCTCGTCTGCAACAAACATTCCGGTAACTCCCAGTTTTCATTTCTCTCCTCGCGAGTCACCAACCGAGTCGTTTGAAATGTTTACGTGATTTTATCGAGATACCGTAATGAAATATTTAGCCGTCTGGTATTTGATCGGCCGCATATTTCGTCAATTTGCGCATTTAATTGAAATATTGATTTTAATTAACCCATTTGCATCATAAGCGCATTTTACTTAGGCATTTATCACCAAAGCGCATATTATTTATACCAGAAAAATACCAAAATTCTTTATTTATGCAATATTGATTTTAAATAAGTGATAAATGAGGTGTGACCTCCGGCTCCTTTTGGTAACTCCAATAAATAGAATTAAATAGCAGGGCAATAATGAGCCATGGCAGGATGTTGTGCCGTAGAAAAATTAAAAAATGTAATTGAGACGTTTCGACTTTATTTTTTAAATCCTTATCAATCTAAATTGTATTTTGAATTTTGTAATGTTGAGTTATAATGACAAATTTGACAACTCTATAATTAAAGGTATGTTGTAATTGTTAATCCAGTATAATTGATTGTAAAATAATTTAAGATTGTAAATAATTTTAGATTGATAAGGACTTAAAAAATAAAGTCGAAACGTCTCAATTACATTTTTTAATTTTTCTACGGCACAACATCCTGCCATGGCTCATTATTGCCCTGCTATTTAATTCTTTGAATATTGATTTTATTTTTCATATTTTGTAACATTTTCATTTCAAAATTTAAATACAGTAAAAAAAAATTTTTGTGATAAGAACGAATTTTTGACTTTTCTTTGTGATGCAAATGGGTTAAATTTAATTCAGCTTCGATGCGAACATTGTCTAATTAACAAATAGCGCACATTTTAGATTGACGATAAATGTTGACGGAAAGGAAGAGAGAGAGAGAGAGCGAAGTAAATTCGAGACATGGTCGATTAGAAAATTGCAACCGGAAAATGTTTTTCGACGACGTGGTTTTTTTACCTCGAGCACGACACCTTATGAAATTTCCACGTTCCCAACGTGTCCGGACTGTAGGAATCGTCGCAGCCGAGATAGCCCAGAGAGCAGAGCAAACCCTTGCTGTCTCGTCTCCATTGTTTCTCGCTCGTGCGGACCTTCCTCGCGAGGAGCGCGCTTCTTCCCTTCGTATTTTTCCCGAAGGAGTCGAGATTCGAAGCGCGACACGTAGGCCACGAGATCCCGCCTGCTTTGCGATCCACGAGCTCCAACATTTTCCGAATTTTTCCCGACAAAGCGCGCAAAAACGTTTTTCTCTCTCGATCGCACGGATCAAACGAACGTCATTGTTTTTTTTTTTTTTTTTTTTTGGATTGTCAATTTCTTGATTTTTGTCAATTAGATTCGGTCTCGTCGCTGAAACAATTTTTACGTTTCAGCGCGCGTTTAATTTCTATCCGCCGCGCTCACTGAATATAAAATTTCCCACTCGATGCAAAGAAAAATTTTACTTTCCGAACGTAGTTTCGCGTCTCTCTCTCGGTTCTACCATCACACACACGCACACACGAGACAGATATACGGCGGATGCAAACGATGATTTGCGTTTACACGAGGATATCGGGCAAAATAACCGTAAAAAATATTCTTTTTTTCCTCCCCTCCCCCCTTTATTTTTCACGTCGTCGAACTGTGCCATGCACTTCGCACGTTGGCGCACTGCCCGGACGCGATCGCGATCGGATGTGACGTCGATTCGGCGGCGCGTCCGAAGACCACTCTCGAAAATGAAATATGCATCCCTCGGCTCTCTTTGGCGCGCCGCCCTAAATTATCGGAACACACACACACACGCGCACCACCACCCTCGAGCTGTTTCTATTCGATGCGTGCGCGCGTTCGCAACGTCGAGGAGAGACTACAAACCGATCGCCTCTCCAACGGGCGACCTGCTCCGTTCTCTTCTCCCCCCGGCTCTCGATTTTTTTTTCTTTCCTCTATCTCGCGCGTATGTCTCTCCTCTCCCGCGGGTGTGTTTTGCGCGTGGGACGCGGCAAAATTTCCAGAGGCACCGCCGCGTGACGATTCCGGATTATCGCGTCACGGATTCGAGCACCGCCGATCGCGCAGACTGCTTGGGGCCGCGGACGAGTTTCTGAAATGTGGTTAGCGAGATAAAAAAAAAACAATTAAAGAATCTATTAAGGCTCCGAAGTTTCCAAACTAATAAATATAAATCCGGTCATGAGAGCCCCGTTCGCTAGGTGTTGTGCGGAAATTATACGTGTATATATATATATATATACATAATATACGTGTTCACGTGTAAATTTTTACACGTGAAATTCGAATTGTAATAACAATTCTAATCCTGGCCGAAGAGTTTTTTTCGCAATATAAATTTAATTTCAATTGAGGGGGTATTTGGGATTTCTTATATATGAGATGCAACCCTTGTAGGAATTGACGAACGGCCCAGTATTGGGTCAATATCGGCAAACGAGGCTCGATATTGGTACGACAGTAGTAGCCAGTACTGGGCGAATATGCTTAATGATTAGATCGAGCCAACGCTGGCTCTTAAGCTCGGCACGATACTTACATCCGAGATTGGTCAGATATGGATTTCAAGTATTGGCACAATGTTGCAATTTTATACTGACAAGACAATCTTAGCCAACACTGGCTAAATATTCTTAGTGGTCAGATAGGCCTAAGATCAGTAACTTATATGACGCCAACATTGTGGCGCCAAT